ATATATATACATATATACACACATATATATACACACATATATATACATATATACACACACATATATACATATATACACACATATATGAATATATCATAGCTCACCTGCGCTGTAGGAGTTGTGTGCCCTGCGCCGGAGGTTGTGCTCCAGCAGCTGGTGAGTCCTTGTGGGACTGGCACCAGCCATCAGCCTCACTGTGGTTTCATGAAGAAACACCTGCAGACGGAAAAAAAAAAAAAATCATAGCAACTAAAAACAAAGGCCAGTAACTGTTTGCCATGATTGTGTCAATTACACACAGTCTAATCAGGAAGCAGTGCAGACTCTCATTGGCTGATTCTCCTGAAGGACCAGACGTACCTTGTGTTGTGCCTGTCTGTAACACTGGGTGAGTCGTCTCAGGGCGCTCAGGTCCCTCTGGAAACCGGCCAACTGGGCACCATGAGCCGGGCCTGGTTCTCCATTGCTGCTGCCACATCGCTGCCACAGACTGGTCCTCAAGGTCAGCAGGAGGTCACAGACCAGGAGCTCCACCCCCTGACAGAAGAGACAGAAAAAAACCTAAGAGCTGCTCGGTGCTTTGACCAAAGACGTGGTGGAAGAAAACCTTGATTCCAGAAAGCATCCCAAAACAACAAGCCCCACGAAACTGGCAGACATGTCATGTGAAGTGATGGTGAGTGTGTGTGTGTGTGTGTAGCAGGTGCGTGCAGATCGGGGAGGCCTCTGTATTGCACTGCAGACACATTGCACTCTGCTTCAGGATCATGCAATGCAACTACAATGCACCACAGCCACCTCCTGCCTCCGGCACGGTGCGCACACACACACACGTCTGCACACATTTGCTACAACACTTTCAGGCACAAATACAATCCCTCAGACGAGCGATCGAGCACTTCAATAATCACGAGTCAGCGTCGGGCACAACGTGCAGACTGTACGACTGTGGAACATGCAGATGTTCAGAGCAGAGGTTCAGGATGAACCAGTAACAGTTGGTTTTTAAATTATACCTTGTTCAGCCAGTTCCCAGTTTGGGAGACTGGGACGGAGACGCTGGAGCGCAGGAAGCTGCTGGCTCGGTCACAGTGGGACAGACAGGTCACTGCACCCTCCCCCTTTAAGGGTGACAGACTCATCTGAACTGCTTTGCAGTGCAGCAACACAGCCTTGGGAAGAGAGTGACTGGAAATACACACAGTGAAGGGGAGAAACAGGAATGTCATGGTGCGTTTAATGTCAGAGGGAATTTGAAAAAAAAATGTGTATGCGCTCTGACTGCAGCCGTATTTCACTCACTCTAGCGTGTGCAGAGCTCTCGGCATCCGCTCCGCCTCCGTCAGCAGAGACTTCACTGCGGCGTCATCACCCTGCAGCCAATGAACGGCAGCCTTCAGGACCAAAGCCCACCAGCGACTCACTGGATCGCCCACTGCCAGGAGGACGATCATAGAGAAATTAAAGTCACATGGTGACGTAGACGGGTGTGACTCATGCTCCCCTGGATGTGAGGGAGGGTTATTCTCTTTGTGCCATTCATACCTGGGGTGGTGGTGTGATGGGGAGGAGCTGAGAAATGAGGACGTGGGGAGGGAGTGTCCTCGGTACAGCTGTTCAACAACTGAAGGAACTCCATGGCACTGGAAAATTCCCTGAAAATGAGGTGGAGTCGAGGTGAAAAGGTAGAGAGGTTACACCCGAAAATGTCAAATACAGACAACTGTGAAGAAAAAAAAAAGAAACTGCGGTCTCTCTGTTCTCCTGTCTTACCCCGAGTCGTTCTTGGATACGTTCACTTCAGAGTCGCTCTGCGGCTGGATGAGCGTTTGAACAGCTCTCTCCAGAAGCTTTCTGCAGAAGCAGCGGTGTAGCTGTGGGATGGGGTCGGCTGAAAAAAAAAAAAAAGTTTTAAAGGATGAAACACAAAATCAAAAACATCATCTACACCTACACAGGTAGACAGAACTTTATTACCTGGGTCTCTCTGAGAGGTGTAGATGTCAGCAATGTTCCCTGACTGGAGTGACCAATCACAGCTCAAGAAAAACTGTCTGCCCAGTGGGGTGAAGAGCCAGCGCAGGCAGTCAGGGACGGACTTGGCGTCTGTCTGACTGACCACACACTCCGCACAGCTCAACAGGTAACCCTGCAGGAGGAGACGAGGACAGATTCAGTTTTTCTCTCTCCTCTGTTTCTGTGATGATGAAACTGCTGATTGATCTGCAACAGACGTACAGCCAAAAAGGAGAGGGGGTGGCCC